GAGTGAACTCCCGTCCCCCGCCCAACCAGCAAAAAAAATAAAACGCCCCCTCGCACACACAGACAAAACAACCAACCACCCCGCCCAAACAGCAAAAACAATAAACACAACCCCCGCCCAAACAGCAAAAATGAAAACACATTGCCGTCGGGAACAGTGGCCGGAATGGCGCCCGCACCGCCCAAACAGCAAAAAATCAAACACCACCCCCGCCCAAACAGCAAAAATAGAAACACGCCCGCACAAACATCAAAAACAAATGCTCGGAAGGGGCGGGGGGCGTGTTCGTTTTTTTGCTGTTTGGGCGGGGTCGTGTTTTTTTTCCTGTTTGGGCGGGGCCCACGCCCCCGCCCAAACAGCAAAGAAATAAACACCCGAAAAGCCCAAACAACAAAAAAGACCAGACATAAAACACATTCTTACCTCCTAAACCCAACTCCTTAAACATTAATCCCTGAACCCTGAGCGCTAAACCTTACTCCCCAATTCTGAAACCCTATCCCAAAAACCAAATCCTCGATCCCTAAACCCTAAACCCTAATCCCTAAACCCTGATCCCTCGCAAAATCTGCTGCAGGATGATCCCGACTAAACCAGTGCTTCGTGCAGGCATGAAAAGTCCGCTGGCTTCAAAAAAAACCTAAACCCTCAACCCGAAACCCTAATCCCTAGACCCATAACCACCAGACTGGGCCCGGGCTGTGCCAAGGCCTTGCAGGTCGAGGCAGAGAAGTTGGAACCGGTGGAGGCTCTGCAGATGATAGTAGAATGCAATATTCATACTCATATAACGATGATGAAGATAGCAGTAAAGAATGATGGACAAAGTGATTCTAGAATGTATCAATGCTGTTTAAAATTAAACTGTATACAAATGTCTTCGTCATTGTATAGAATATTCGAGTAATATTACAGTAGTAATGTAGCAAGAATACGGTAATAATCGAGTTCCGCCATAGGATCGAGTGTCCGTATTGACTGCTTTGCAGTCTGGAGCTTGAAATGAAGTCCTTGCAGGACAGCGGCTCCTCCTTGATGTTATCCTTCCAAGGCGGCGTGGACAGAGGGTTTAGGGTTTAGGCGTTTTGGGGTTTAGGGATTTGGTTCACTCTGAATAAGTTGTTTGCAGACAGTTGCCCGAAAAAAAAGTCCACATGGCAGTTTCCCAAATTAAGGAGATCCCGATGTAGACCCAAAGATATTTTGATCCTTCTTATGGAGGCCCTCAATAAGGCACCCCTAATTTTTGGAAACCCTAAACCCTATAAGTCCCTGAATTATAATCGCCATAAAACCCCTACATATCTTCTATAACCATAACCCGCTGTTAAAGGTACCCCAAAGTTTGGGAAACCCCCCACATGAAGCCCAACTGCGAAGCAGGCGACATTTGGAGTTCGTTTGATGAGGCAGAGATTGCGGAGCTGAGGCGCATGCTTCAAGATAGTTTGAGTTCCCTACCCAGACCCCCAAAGGGATCTAAAAATTAGATCCCCTAGAACCATATGGGAAATTATATAAGGATTATATAGGGGTTATAACGGGTTTATATAGGGGATC